ATAAAGAAGGTATATCACTATTATACAGACCCAGTGGTAAATATCCACCTCCAGTTCTCTTAGATTATCATGGAAAATTAGCCAGACATCCTAGAGGAAGCAAATGGCTCAAGAGTTGAAGTGGTAGACCTAAGAATGATCTTTGGGGCCAGACGGAAAGGAGGGAGTTGGAGGTTACAGAAAAATGCAAGTGCTTGAAAGGGCATCCCCTTACCTGTTTGCTTCGGTTAATAGCCAGACACGACCAAGAGATTCCAAACTGGAAGATGAAGACCAAACCAAGGATGATCATGTACTGAGAGCAAGAGTTATGGGGAAAAAGTCCTGGATTCCTTTATGTTTCACCTGTATCAACCATATGATCTCATCTAGTCACAGAGCTTAGACAACCATGTCAGCTGAAAGCAATAAAATCAGCTCTGGTTTCATAAAGCAGGGTAAAGACACGTCCCTAAGGTCCCTGAGGTCTAAATTTCTTCCTAGCCCATTCAGCCCTCCCAAGAGCCCTATACTGCCCCATCACTTCAGGTCAGGATACAAAGAACAGCAGTACTTGGTGGTGGTTGACAGCACCCACCAGTCCTGCCACCGCGATGAGAAGAAGGAAGACTCCCACAGCAATGACTCCTCCGATGATGTGGATGCTGGACACCAGACCCAGGCCCTTACCCCAAGCGGCCACTCCAATGAGCAACAAACCTACCAGCTACGGGAAACAGAAAGCAGGACACACCTCAGAGCTCCAGCGCGCAGCACAGCCAAAGGCCTCACAGCACCCGGGACGAAAGGGAGGAGGTGCTACGGGGACCTGGGGCATCACTGGGCACTCCCATCGGAGGTCAGGCTGGCTGGGGTGGGGGTCGGGGGCGGCAGGGGTAGTAATCTATAAACAAAAACCGAACCTCTGGCTTCGTCCATCACTTCTCTATTTTGGGAGAAACTGAAGTTCATAAAACGGAGGGATAGGCCTTTGTGCCCACAGCCCCAATTCATTCCCCCACCCCCAAACAAACCCTCTTATCACCGGAAGTCCCCAGGAATTCCCTCTTCGCCGGAAGTTCCTAGGAATCTTCCTGGAACACCCAATACACCCCTCTCCCCACCGGAAGTCCCCTGGAGTCTCCCCACTCGCCTTTCCGCCTTGAGGCTTCCCCCACCTCCAAAACCTCACCATATAGACCACGTTGAGCGCGCACAGCGCATTCTTGGAGCAGGCAAAGCCTCCACAAACCATCTCCCCAGCTTTGGGGACCCAAGTGGTCCCAAGGACTTAGGGAGAGGGTCTCAGGGACAGTCGTCTTGGACCCCGACAGCGTCTGTCTCTTTAAATCTAGTCCACCCAAACCCAATCGTCTGCGCCTGCACCGTCCCACCCCTGCCTCCGGATTGGCGAAACTCGCGGCTGGAACGCGACGTCGGCAGCCTGCGTGCCAATCAGTCTGCATTGCGTCCCGGCCCCTCCTTTAGGTTCTTTATAGGGTGAAACTTAGAGCCGGGGGCAAGGCTTGCGAAGGTTCTCCAAGAGATCAGAGCCTGAACTTGGAAACCCGGGATTAAAAGTGAGGCTTTCCCTGGTCTCCGTTGGAAGAGGCTAATCCTGAGGAGAGGGCTCTGGAGAAACTCCGCTGAAGAGAAGATAAGACTGCGCGGGCCGGGCGGAAAAGGCTCCTCCCTTCGAGGGAGTGCCCTTTCCCCTGGGCCTGCAGTGACCTCATGATGACGCCACTGTTTGTTGTTATTGCATCACACTCGGAAACACACAGAGGAGCAAAATGTTGAGCTATTTAGCCCAGCCACAGAGGCCCCGTGTTGGGCAGAGCAACACCCAGCAAATCCTTACACGTTTGCAAGCACGTCCACAAGTACACATGTCCTGTTCCATATCCCCCCTAATGCGTGAGAATATGCTATATATTAAACGTGTAAAACAGCAGCGTTGGTGAGCTCAGCACTGTATGTGACAAAGCCACAGGTGCAGACATGGGTGTGCCAGGTGTCTTCAGAACACATGCCTGGTACAGGGCTTGCAAAAAATGACAAAGGGAGGGGTCTGGAATATGAATAAATTTGGGAGTAAGGAGGAGTCTCCACACGTTTTTGCTCTGGGGTGGGTATAGTGGTTGGTTGATCAACGTATGTTTATTATTGAATAAATGCTTGGACACACTGCCATTTTTCTGGAAATGGCAAAAGAGAAAGAAGCAGTCTTAGTAGGAACACAAATGAAAAGCCTCCCTTCAACCCCACAGAACAACTTAAGTTTGTGTGCACTTGGATTCAATGACTGCCTAAGCAGTATATAGTCTTATTGCTAGTCAGACTGCATGGGTTCCAACTTTGCCAATCACTAACTCTGTAACCTTTGGCCAGTTAATTAAGCTTTCTGTATGTGTCCTCATCTGTAAAATGGGGGTAAATAACAACACACCTACCTCTTGGGTCGTTGTGAGAACTGAATGAGTTAATATGTGTAGATTATTTTACAGGTTCCAGTGGGTAATTTCAACGTCAGTTCCCCTATCTCCAACTACAGAAATATACACATAGTTATAATCCACTACCTTTTATAGATTGATATCAAGAATAGATGCAGGAGACATTTGGCAGGGCCAGAAAGGTTGGAGTCTTGAAACAAAGCAATTGATCAAACCATCCACCATTTCCCCTGCTCGTCTTCCCTGCATCTTCTTTCTGTCCTTCAATTCCTCATCCACTCTCTTCTCTTTCAGGTCCTAACTCAAGGGCAAGACAATGGCACTAGGATTAAGGGGGAATGGTTGGCAAGCATCCAACCAGTAGGGTAGTATGGTGAAAGGGTACCAGACTTATAATCAGAAGATCTAGAGCCATATCTTTGTTTCACCTCTTACTGGCCTGTCTAAGCTTCAGTCTTCTTTGCTGCAGACTAGGGATGATAATCCTACCCCTTGGACCTGTCATGAGGATGATATATATGAAGGTATGTTGTAAACTGCTGTGTTATAGACAAATTAATTATTAGGAAAGTAATTGAACATGGATCGTGGTGGTTTTGCTTGGTTATAGGTTACTCCTTCTCCATAACCTGTTCTCCCCATAACTGCTTGGCCCTTTTAACCAGGAGGTGGTCACTGCGGGGTGGCTGACCGAGGAAGGGTTACATTGCAAGATGTAAAGAGGCAAGCTCTTTGGATGTGTAGAGTGGGTGGTGATTACAGCTATAAACTGGAATGCAGGGCTCTAAGAGTAACAGGCCAAGTGTGTATGGATTCCTGTGAAAGTTTGAGGCTGAAAACAAATCTGTAGGTCACCAAGAGTTTAGGATTGCCCCTGGGACCTGGCTTGCCACATTCTCCCAGCACCAACACCCATCTTAATTAGTCACCTCCCACAGGAGGCCCTAGGATGCTTGATGCTTATTAAGGTCTCTCCATACACCTAGCAGGAGAATCTTAGCAGAGGCTGGCTGGCAGAGCTGATGGGCCAACACTAGAGGGGGTGGGAGGTGCAGAAGGTAGTACTGTCCCAGGCTGTGGGTTTGAAACTCACCAGTCAGGAAGTGAGGCCGACAGACGGAAGGGCGGGCAGGGGCGGAGAGTTCTGGGGCACAGCAGAGGGGCCTTCTAGGGTTTGGGGGTTGCAGGGCCATGGGCTTCAAGGCCAGAGGTTGCTGTTAGCCTGGCAAGACTGGTCTGGGTAACATGCATGCCCAAAGGCAGTTGGCTATAGCTGCAGTGAGAGCAGAAGTCAAACGACATGAGGTAGCCAAGCAGGCTCTAAGTCGCCTCAGGAAACTGGCAGAGAGGGTGGGTGACTCGGAACTTCGGGAGAGCATCCAGGCCTCACTGAACAGCTTACGAGGTAAGAGAAGGGTTAGCTCCCAACTTGGGTGTATCGGGGACCAGAAGGGGCATAGAAGGGTTTGCTGGGTCATACATCATTTCCCAATCAGCCACTTCCTAGTAGTCCCCAAAATGGAGCTGGGATCTGGGGAAAGAATACATTTGAAAGGATGGAAAAAGACATGGGAGGTGTCATTCTTCCTCTTTCCTCAACTCTGATCCTTCTCCCAGGGGATCAAAATACAGGTCACTGCTGAGCTGACCTTCTTGGAAATGGAGAAGTGGGTGAGCATGGGGAAGACAGGCTGTGACAAATCCTTGGTAGACTTGGACCCTGCCTGGGGAGTCTGGGGCAGGAAGCAGTCTGGGGCAGGAGGTTCTGGGACTGGATAATGTGTTCATTCCCAGGACCCATGAGGGATCAGTGACCTCTTGTTCTCCAGCTGTAGAAAGAAAGAAACACACACAAATACATACACACATTAAAATCACCACAGAGAGAATCTCAGGCTCCCAGGCACACACTAACATTCACACAGCATGCTCTGCACAGCCGAAATGCAGAGAAGTCCCCAGGACACCTCTCGGTCCCCTCTTCCTCACGTCCCTGTTTCTGTCTTGTCCCCCACACACCTTCCGCTCTACCTCCTTAGTGCCATTAGAGCAAGTGATGACAATACAGGAAGGAAGTGCTGCCATGGCAACACCATCCGCCACATCCTCCTGCTCACCCCAGCTTCAATCCTGTGGTGGGGCCCTGACTGCAACGGCTTATCCATCCCTGAGGCACCACCACCCAGAACTGATGGAACTGGAGGTCCCTCTGGATTGTTCTCATCTCATTACCCCTGAGGTGGCAGAGAGCTAACAAAAGCAGGCTCCTTTGCTCATGAAAGGTGTCCTCCATTGTATCACAGTCTCTTCCAGCCTCTCCATTCTTAGCTGCCTACTTGGGGGTGGCAGATGGGGGCAGCTGAGAAGACCTCCTGCCAGGTCTCTCTGATGGTAAAGGCCACGAGAGCATAACTTGCAGAAGGAACAGTTTGGTTTGGGTTGCTAAGGGAACAGTCTGATGATACCCTTCCCATTGCCCTTCTGAGGCAATGCCTCCTGCCCCCCACCCTTTGCCAAGAACTACAGCTGACGCCTTCCCTACAGCATTAATTGTTGGAAAGGAAGACCTAGGGGGAGTGACCTATGGGGCCTCCTAGGGAGGCACTCCAAGCCCACCCTTGTAGAGGAGAAAGCAGGGAGAGGGTAGATGTTTGGGCCAGGTAGAGGAGCTCTGCTTAGCTCTGGGTAAGGAGGAGTGAGGAGGGGTAGAGGCTGACATCTCTGAGAAGACTCCACTCTTCATAAATAATTTGTTCCACTCTTTCCCCAAGAGTCAGGATTCTGTTCCCTTTGAGTATAAGGGAAAACTGAGGCCACCGATGCGAGGGGAAAATATTAGGCCAGAATCAACCAATCTCCTTCACTATCTTTCAGATAAGACTATTTAAGGGTCTCCAGTCCTGGGAATGGTGTCATCCTGGCACTGCGGGGGCGGGGGTGGGGTGGAGCACGGGGCGGAGAGGTTGCTGACCTCGGG